TTAATCAAAATTCTTAGAACAGCATTTATTATAATGTGATTTTTGATAATTGACTAAATCAGTGGCTCTTAAGAAAACACCCTTGTCTCAGTCCTGCTCAGTATACACCACAGTGCCATTTGTGGAAAAGAAATACATATTAGAAATGTTCATTTCAGACCTCGTCATGGAAGATCATATATTAATGTAATCAGGTGGTACATTTACATGCTCATTAGTAATCCATCATTAGTCCAAATGCTCACTATTAGGAATAAATGTACAACGAGTTATTCAGAATACCCAGAAATAGTATTTCTTATTTAAACATTCAGAATAAGCTGACTGAAATAAGTGCACACCTTGAATTTGAACTTTCAAGGCACATCACAGAAGTCAATCAGTTATGTCAGGACACTCTTCCATAATAATCTCAATTATAAAATCCCTGCCCCTCCCTAACATAGGAGATGGGGGTAGTTCAAACATAGGAATCTCTCTAATTCACTGTAACTGCAAAAATTCCTGATGAAATGTGTGTTTAAATTTTATGCTTTAATACATAGCATGCCACTAAAACCACATTAGTTATGCTTTATGCTGTTTAATCATATGTCAAAATCTGTAAAATCTGTTCTTGCATGCTAAGGTAATTTAACTGCAATTAATCAATCAAGAAAATAAATAAAATATAATAAGTGCCGAATAATATAACTCCTTTAAAACAAACCACTATCTACACGTTTGTTCTAAAAACTCTTACCAACCTCACAGAAGGAAAACACAAAAAAATTAGACTTTGCTGAATATTTCTCTCATTAGTAACTTGCTCTAAACATACAAATGGTTTACAGAGGGCTTTGACATGATCTGATTTTCCAACCAAAATGTGAGCAACTTGAGAGTCAGGCTTTTTTTGATTTTTTATGCTCTGTGCCTAATACAAAGCCTTAATCCTCATGGGTGCTCAGTTTGTTGAATGAAAGAATTGAGTGATTCAAATATCTACAAAGTAGATTCTTTTGCCATAGAGGTTAAGACTTATGAGAAGAACATGTTTTTTTCTTCTGGCAATAATTATATTTTATTGGTATTTAACCAAAGATAGTTACACTCTTCATAGTTTCTTTCATTCTTTCATAGATCATGTAAGAATCCACAGGGCAGGTTGGTAGATATGTTTGTATTTGTTCCTCCAAATGAAGATCTTGTCCAACTATGTAATTTAACAGTTTGATGATTATAGTTTTGGACTAAGACTAGGGAGGACAGTTATAAGTCCTGAATCCAGTCAGCAAGAACTTATTAAGCACCAACTGAAAAATCCATACTAAATTAGCAAACAAAAATACACCAGAGAAGTTAAAAACATGCTCTGCCTTCCAGACTTTAAATCAGAGAAGGCATGTACATGTCCATTCCACAAGCATCTCTGAGTACACCCTGCTTCATGCGTGGCACTAAAGAGGCGGGACAGCCAGCAAGTCTCAGTTTTCCTCAAAGAGCTAACACAAGAAATTAATGAGTAACTGTATATCAAGAAAAAGTCATGATATCACTGAAAAATTGCAAACTAATTCCCATGGGAAACTCAAGAGAGAAAACTGATGAACTCATGGAAGTCTTAAAGAAGCAAATAGCATAAAAATAGCTCCAGAATTTCCTAGATAAGATAAATTAGAGCATTCACTAGAGATGAGGGAATTGAAAGTAAGGGTCCAAAAGTTTTCAGAATAAGTTGTTTATTTGCTTGAAGATGACTTAACATAGCTGTTCTTCTCATCAAATTAGTTCTGGTGACATAAAATAATAACTTCTGAATTAATACCCACCCYATTCAAAGAAACCTGGAAGACTTTCCCTTTCAAGGTCCCTGATGGTAACTATTGATGAGGTATCTCACAGCTGAAAGCATCCCAAACACATTACAACAAAGGAGAGTTGCCTTTCCCGCCCACTCCATTGTCCACTGCGGTGCTGTGCAACACAGAAGCCCTGGCCACATGAAGCTACTGAGCACCAGAAACATSTCCAGTCCAAACTGATCGTGCTGTAATTGTAAAATGCACACTAGACTTCAAAGACTTTCAAGAAAGAAAGCAAAATATTTCAATAATTTTGGTATTAACATCTATTGATGTAATGGGATTTTGATATTATTGACTGAAATACAAATATTGTTACATTATTTTCATGCATGTCCTTTTACTGTAGAAACTGGAAAAAATTAAAATTAATTTTATGACTCACATTACATTTCTAATGAACAATGCTAGTCTAAATGCATTGCAAAAAAAAGATTAACTTTTTAAAGTATACCATACCATTCAGCAATATGAGCTGATGCCTTAATACAATTCTCTGATATAAAACTTAACATAAAGAACCATTCAATGCATACTGCCCCAAAGTTCTGAAAAACAAGAACATTTGTCCTGGCTCCCTGGGGTCTCCAGCCCCACTCTGATCTCATAATAGGGACATCATTTCTTATGATTCCCTTTTCCTCTGAATGGCAGAAAGCATGAGCCTGAAACCAAGTTATTCAACAACTGAATATGGCTGGAGGGTCTTAGTGTTCTGGTTTAGTTTTACACTGTCCCCTTTTTATTGTTTGCCTTGGTTTTGCTTTTTTTTTTTTTTTTTTTTTTTTTTTGCAATCAGTGAGATGCCACACTCTTCAGAGTTTGGAAAGACTCATTTTGTCTGACGCCTTCTTCCTTATTACAATTGTGAGCAATGATAGACATTTAGCAAAGCAGGCCAATATGCACATTTAATATCACAAATGTGGACCTGTTACTACCCATATCTGTTACTAAGAGTCAGCTCTGAAATCATACAAACGGCTGTAAATAATAAGTCATCAAATCAAGCAGAGGTCAGAGCAATTATCAGAAATACCTAAAAATCAAGCAGGTATTGGTCATTATCAGATCTGATCCTGTTTTTTTAAAAAACCACAGAGTGTAATGCAGACATCGTRATAGCATCTAAGGATCCAAGAAAACTTAATAGATACTGAGCCCTTTTTTTCTAGAGAAGGGGATAATTTCTGAAACAAGGGAGCCACACCAGCCCCTGGGACGTAGTTCAGAGAAATGGCCTCCCCAGGTCTAGTGAACCATACAAATTTCAGTTGAGAATGAGCAGTAACATATAGCCCAGCTGTTGGAGCTGACCCACTATATGCACCCAATAAGCAAGAGAAAATTAAAGGYTTAAACATGCTTCTTGTTATCCAGGGACTGATGGGCTCGTCTGCAGGTAGGAGCATTAGCTTTGCTCAGGTGATCACAGAGGAAGAAGAAAGATGGGGCTTATCTTTAAAAACTGGAGAGTTAAGCCAGGTATGGTGGCACATGCCTCTAATCCCATTGGCTTGGGAGGCTGAGACAGGAAGATCGAAAGTTCAAAGCCAGCCTCAGCAATGCAAGGTGCTTAGCAACWCAGTGAGTCCCTGTCTATAAATAAAATTCAAAATATGGCTGAGGATGTGGCTCAGTGGTCAAGCACCCCGAGTTCATTCCCCAGTACCCCCCCMAAAAAAACTGCAGAGTTATATTGATGGCTATGCAGCTCTCATTCTCAAATTAATATTTCAAAACTATTCAGGAAACTTAAAAAATCAAGCCTCTTCAGTGGACATCTGAAATCTATGTAAAAGGCAACTGGCTTCCTAATAATTCCTATTCCTCTCCAAAAAAAATGCTTGTAACATTATTTAATAACATGGTTATACCTGCGTATCCAGGGAAAACCATGGAATATATGGAGTGTTATGTAATCTCGAGAACATCTATTATAACTGCATCTTAAAGATATAAATAAGAATAATAAAAAAGCCAACAATTTTCTCAAATATAGAGACAGAGATAGGAGAGGACACAGAAAAGACTATGGCCATATACAAATCAGGACCACATACTCACATAAACTACCAGAAGGCAAAAAAGAGTCATTCTAAGTCAGCTAGACTTTTGACATACTCTCTAATGTTTTCTTAGAAAGGTGTTAAAGCATGTAGCATACAAATAACCAGTTTTGTTTCAGAAAATCAAATTAATAAAATGTTAAAAATGAAACTTAGTACACAGTTGGCCTCAACAACAAAAGAATGAAAGTCCCAAGATCTAATCAATGATACATGACCTGTTACATGTAAAATATCCATAAAAAAATTAAATATGAGTCAAGGACGAGGAGTAGAAGGAGGAAGTAAGGGAGAAGAAGAAGGAGGAGAAGACATGAGTCAGAACTAAGTGGCCAATTTCACAAATTATATTTAGTCATTTCAAATTGTCTACTCCCCTGATGATGGTAAAGGACACAAACCAAAGCTGCCTATACACACACTTTGTGATTCTGTCTCAAGGAGACTCAGACCAGGTTAAAAACTCCAAGAATGTTTCCTTCCCAGGGAGCATTCTAGGACCACACAGGTGCAGACTCAGACCCCTTCTAAGTCAATGGTGACTCTAAAGGAGGTTCTCCTGGCATTGATAAGAGAAAGTGCATTTTAAAAATAAAAAAAGGAAAGAATCAATATATTTCTAGCCCACATATTATATAAGCCCATTTATTCATGGATTTGTGAAATTCAGAAACWACCTAATGAAATTTCTAAGACAACTGAGTTGTCACAATTTGACAAGAGCACAAATTCATATTGAGTGGCTTTTCTGGTGCCTCCTACTAATAACAACAAAACCCAAATACGGATTTCACCTAACATTCAGAGAAAATTCTACTTAGTTATTAGGAGGGAAAAAAAACGCATATAAATTAACAAAACTCACGATATGTATCAATCTGTCACCAAATTAAAATGAGCTACAGCAACAGTAATAAAAACCCACTGCACCCATGTTCATCTTCACATGCAAAGGCTATTTCTAAGCAGATCTGAGCGAAGCGTTGACTGCTCCATGCTAATGGCAGAGCAGGCCAGAGGTGAGCCAAGGCTGTGCATAACAGAGAATTCATGGATATTTAAATTTGGAACCAATTTTCCTACTTACATTAGAGTGTGCTGTGGAAACACCAGACTCCTGATGCTTGATATGTACTCATTCTTACACAATAAATGCTTCATATGGTTAAGGCATTTCATACAGGCACCTGTGAGCAGGACATGTCATTGGGGTAGTGATGGTGGAGTCAATCTCATCCATTCTGCTTCTCCATTACTGCTGATGGAACCAAGTCCCTCAGACAAAAGCATGACTTGCCTGGAAAGTGAGAGACATAGTAGAGACATGGTTTTTTTAACTGGGGAATAGAAACAAGATATTTGCTGTTATTTGGAAATGTGCTGTTTCTCAAAGGTTTGTGTGCTGGAATTATGGTCTCCAATGTGGCAAGAAACTTTAAAAAGTGGGGCCTAAGGGAAGGTGATTACATCATGGGGGCTTCACGTTCATGTATACATTAATACTGTCTTACAGGGGTAGGTCAGGTGTGGTATTAGCTCTCAAAGTGGATTAGCTCTCAGAAGAGTGAATTGCTTTTTTTTTTTAAGTGAATTTGTCCTATTCTTCAAGCAGCCAGTTTTCTTTTAACTTTTCTGCCATGTTGAGACGCTACTAAGACTGCAGAAGCATGCTATTTGGACCCTCCAGAATCAGGAGCCAAATAAACATAAATACTTTATAAAGTACCCAGCCTTGACTATTTTGTTATAGCAACACAAAAAAAGACAGTATTCCTCCATATATATACTCTATACTAATTCCTCTTGACTAAAGATTATTGCAATATATTATAATGARCTATTCAGTTCCCTATATCCTCTACAACATTGCAATTATTTAAAAATTAATATGAAATAATTAAAATTAGCAAAAATGTACAAATAATTGACAGAGAAGCCCTGTGGATCTTTCACTCAGTCTCTATTTCCATATTAACATCTGTRATATCCAAACCTGGAAATTGACATTGGTACAATCTATAGAGCTTGTTCAGATATCACCAGATAGACATGCACTTATTTGTGTTTGTGTGTGTAGATCTCTAAGCAATTTTATCGTGTTGTAGTTTTAAGTAACCATTAGCTCATGCCAAACCCTTAACTGCATCATCATAAGAATCCTACCCTTTTATGTCTACCCCTACTCCATCCCCTGCCCTCTCCCTTGCCCCTGAAAACCACTAATCAGTTCCCCATCTCTATGATTATGTTACCTCATAAGAGTTATATGAATGGAATCATTCAATAAGGTATTCTTTTAAGGTAAGTATTTTTCACTCAACATATTTTCTTTGAGGTTCATTTAAGTTGTTGCCCATAACAACAGTTCATTTTTCTTTATTGCTGAGTAGTATTCTACTATGTAACTAAATCACTCTCTATTTAATCATTCACTCATTGATAGACATTTGGATATTTCCAGGTTTTGGTTATTACAAATAAATTTGCTAACCAAGAATAAAAACAGGGCAAGGGTTGTGGCTCAGTGGTAGAATGCTTGCCTAGGACATGTGAGGTACTGGGTTTCATCCTCAGCACTACATAAAAATRARTAAATAAATAAATAAGTTATTGTGTCCATCTACAACTAAAAAAAATATTTTAAAAAAGCAGCAGTAAATGTTGGCGAGGATGTGGGGGAAAGGGTACACTCATGCATTGCTGGTGGGACTGCAAATTGATAACAATCACCTTAGAAAGCAATATGGAGATTCCTTTAAAARCTAGGAATGGGACCACCATTTGACCCAGTTATACCACTCCTTGGTATATAACCAAAGGACTTAAAATCAGCATACTACAGTTAGGCAGCCACATCAACGTTTATAGCAGCCCAATTCACATTAGCTAAGCTATAGAGCCAACTTAGGTGCCCTTCAGTAGAGGAATGGATAAAGAAACTGTGTATGTAGACACAATGGAATATTACTTAGCTCTAAGAAAAGAATGACTTCATGACTTTTTCTGGTAAACGGATGCATCTGGAGATTATCATGCTAAGTGAAATAAGCTAGTCCCAAAAAACCAAAGGTCAAATTTTCTCCCTGATATGCAGATGCTAATACACAAGGGGAAGAGAAAGGAAGAATAGAAGTTCAGTGGATTAGACAAAAGGGAATGTAGGTGAGCGAGAGGAATAAGAAAGACAGTGAAATGAATCAGACATAACTTTCCTATGTTTATATATGAATACACCACAGTGAAACTCCACATATGTACAACCACAAGAATACTATCCTAATTAGAATAAGTTATCCTCCATGTATTTATAATATGTCCAAATATACTCTACAGTCTACTGTCATGTATATCTAAAAAGGACAAATTAAAAAAAAAAAAAAAAGACACACAGTTCTGGAAACTACCACTTGAAGCAGTGCAAGCTACAATGAATAAGGTAGAGTTACTACCATCAAAAATCCAAATAATAATAATAAAATCTGGACACACACACAAAAAAAGAAAAGTTGTTATGAACATTCACATGCAAGTTTGTCTCTGAAAATAAACTTGCAAGATTTTTTTTAAAGGGGGAGAGGGGGGTCTTCTTCACTATGGTATCTACCCCACACTGTAGGATACATAGTAGTTAATCAAAATATCTGTTCAAGAAATGAATGAATGAGCCACAAAATTGATTCTAAGTCCAGAAAATAAAATTGGATCATCTGGTGGGAAAGTTAGGTGGGAGGGAAAATGCCACCACGTGGTTCTACAAGCTGTACTGACAGTTGCAAAACTGCAGTGGTGAGGACTGGAGATGGAGTTCAGGGATAGAACACTTGCCTAGAATGCATAAGGCCCTGGGTTCAAATCCCAGGAACAACCCCCATCACCCCTGCAAAAGGAGAAAGGAGAGAATAAAGGAAAGAAAAAGAAAACTACAGCAGTTTATTCAAGGGGGTTTTCTACACACACTACAGTCAAATGTTTTAAAATTCATTTCAATTATTGAACTTCATATTAAGACACTGATTGGATAAATAAGGTATTGCTGAACTTTTTTGGAAACAACTGGGAGAGACTTCTTATTCTAGCCCAGATGAACTGACAGAGGGATGAGACAAACCTTCCTTCTTAAAACAAACAAACAAACAAGGAAGGAAGGAAGGAAGAAGGAAATAAAATGCACAATACAATTGTTTTCAAGACACAGGTCAACAGGCCATGAGGGACAGTGATTCCTGAGGGATGAAAAGCCAAGAGGTGAATCCCACAATCGCCTCAGAACACTGCCTTGAGGGCTTCTCAACAGCAGCATGGGGAGGACACCCAACTCAGGGGAGCCAAAGGCTCTGAGTTCAGGAAACAGAAGTGAAAGTATCAAAGAAAGTGGCCAGAGCTTACAGGACCAAGTCCCTGGGAGGAAAGACATGAAGCACAGAGAGTACCCTAAGAATTTAGCAGAGTACTAATCTGGGCATATGCATGTAGAAACTACCCAAGCCTGGGAATAAAACATTTTTAAAGAATTACAGAGGAAACTTGTGCATGGCATTAATACAGGGCTGGGAATAAACCTTTTGCCATCAGTTACAATGGAAAATTTCATGACTTCTGTGTTGTTAGTTAGAATCTCAACAGTGGGTGATAATTCACCCTGAACCATGCACTGCTCTGGTCTCGCCTAACATTTTAATTYCTAAAAATGAGCCTAATGATTCTGTGTAACATAATCATACCAAAAAAGAACAATTCCATATAGTTGAGAATCACAGAAATATGTACATTCCTATGAGGGGAGAGAATTCTGCACAAGGTATATGTACATTCCTAAAGATGGTGGTCATCCTGGTACTATTATTCTGAGCCTGTTGTAAATGTACTGTCACTTAAAGCTAATAAGCATACTAGTACCATTAAGAATTGGAATTGTCAGTTTAGAAGAAAGGGCAAATGGATAGAGGATTTGTGATTAAATTAAAACCTGTTGTCCTTGATGTGTATTAAATTTAAGTGTTCCTATGGATCTCTATGTATTTTGTCTTAAAAATTTAAAAAGGAAGTAGCAGGATTGCAAGTTCAAAGTCAGCCTCAGCAATTTAGTGAGGCCCTAAGAACTTAACAAGGCCCTGTCCCAAAATAAAGAAAAACAAACAAAAAAAAGAGAGCTGAGTATTCGACTCAGTGGTTAAGCATACTTGGGTTCAATTCCTAGCACCAAAAAAAAAAAAAAAATTAAAAGAACATATATTCTAGCTCTTTCTTTTGAAAAGACCTAGACTAAGGGCCATGTTAGTAAAAATTAGCTCTCCTAATTTCAAGAACATAATTTTTAAGTACAATTTCCAAGACAAAATTCATTAAAAAAAGAAATACAACTTTTTAGAAAATTGCCTGCTTCCAGATTTGGAAAGGAAAAGTTCAAGATAAGCCTGTTAAATTTTGTCATATCATTATCATGGAAATTTTCAAAAACTTGAGGTTCTTTGAAAAGTATATAGGAACATGGCTGGGACAGGGCTCACTGGCAGAGTGCTTACCTACCATGTGTGAGAAACTGGGTTCAATCATTAGCACCATATATAAATGAACAAATAAAATTCAGGTATTCTGTCCATCTACAACTACAATTTTTTTTTTWAATAATAGGAATCAACTGAAATAGACTGAGTAACCAAAGATGTAAAAATATGGGCATCCATAGGCATTAACAACTGTAATGATTGAAACACATCAATGTTCATAATGACATTTTAAGAATAATATTGATTACCTTTTGTGTTTGTGTGTGTGTGTGTGTGTGTGTGTGTGTGTGTTGCTGAGGATTGAACCCAGGGCCTTGGGCATGCAAGGCAAGCATTCTACCAGCTGAGCTATATCCCCAGCCCCATTGATTACCTTTTGAGGATGGTTAGAAACTCTTTACATTGTGCTAAGAATTTACAAATAAACAGAACAAATTAAGAATTTATTCTGATTTTCTTACATAAATTGAAACTCAAAATAACAAACTAGTTTATCTATAAAGAAGCATTCTTGATAATAAATGAAGCAGATATGATAGAATTATATTACTATTCTTACAAAATCTAGGAATAAATGAATTTAGGCAATGATCATCAATATCTGCTAACATCCAAAGAGAAAGAAAACAGTAGTTTTGCCTTCCCTCCCCTAAATAAATATGATCAGATTTTTAGTCTTAATTACAACAGTTAATTAAAACGTAAAGCACAGGGGRCTATGGTTGTGGCTCAGTGGTAGAACACTTGCCTAGCATGTGTGAAACACTGGATTTAATACTCAGCACCATAT